ATCAGGGCAGTAATTTCTACAAGAGCGCTGGACACTCAGGAATGCCTAAGGCACACTCATTGAACATACGCACAAGGGCTTTGCTGAAGTTTTCCAGCATAGCTGATCCTGTGCGCATAGCAAAGAGGATCTGGACATATGCAAAAAGTCTGGTGCACCCAGAACTTGTCACACAGTGAGTTAGTGAATTCAGGTCAGCAGTTCATCTCGGGTGTTCTGGACTCACTTTCCAGGCACTGTGCACTGCCTGACGGCATTTTTAATATCTTTTTTCCAGGGAAGTCTCAGAGAGAAATAGAGAAGCCTTGGTTACACTTGCCTGATTATTTATATTGCACTTCACCTCACAGTGATCACCGTTGCCTTATATTGAATGGGTAGGATGCTCTGTAGGGTTCTTGAGATGTGAGAAAGCGTCGGCTCCCTCCTGCATCGCAGTGTGCAGTCGCGCGAGGGCTGGCACCGGCACGAGGGAAGGTGGCTGGGCATCTCCTCTGCTGGAGCCCACGGAAAACATCTCATCTTCGTATTGCTGGCTTCAGCAACGGCTGGCAACGCAGCCCTGTAGCGGTGTAGTGGGCAAAGCACCCAGCCCTGGGTGGCACTTCTAGGGAAGCGGAATGGTTGTGGGCCTAGTAACATGGATGACGCTTGAGAAGCAGAACTAGGACACACACCATTTTATTTCCATGTAAGGTAAATATGGGATTTCACTGCCTCTCCAGCAATTTAGAGAAAGCTGGGAACTACTGTAACTAAAATATGAAGAAATTGTCCCTTGCACGTGGAAAAACAGAATTTTGAGAAACCTCTAATTTGTCCCAAAGCATATGTAGGTTATAATAATGATAAAATTAAGATCGTAAATTTTGGTTGTTTTCATGGTAATAAACATCGTAAAGGAATTTCATATCTGTACAGCTGACAATTTAAATTCCATTTAAGCCTAATCTTGTGGGTTTGAGATTTTAGCTGTATCTAAGTCTCGTGTCCTTTGCACTGCATCAAGACAAACTTCACCTGCTCAGGGAACAAAGGGTTTTTAATTGAGAGAAAACAGTAAAGCAAGGTTTGCCAAAAATCTATTTTGGGTAAAAATACTTAAGGCCAGCCTTTTTACCAACGTAATGCATTTTACATCAGTGAAGTTACACTAATGTGGAATTTGGCTCTGATGTGTTTGTATAAATATAGTATTTCGGAATTTGATGAGCGTGTATTTAAGCATTATTCATTGGGATAAGGTGGAGAGGAAGGGTGAGGTCTGTGCGTGAGGGCAGAGCCCTGGGCACCCCCAGACCTTTGGCAATGCCCACCGGGGTGCGGCAGCGCCTGCGGGGTCACCCCTGAGCGCTGCTGGGGCCGTGTCTGCCCTCCCGTGTGGAGGCTGAACGTCCTCTTGGGAACAGACTGACTGGTTTACGTTTGCCAAACTGTGAAACGTTGCTGGCATTTCTGAAGCAACGCAGGCAGAGGATATATTTGCCAGTTTAAGGTACTGAGGTGGAGTTGAAAAGAGACTGCGGCTTGCTTCTGCCGCAGGTGTTTGGTTCGACCCTTTGTGCCTCAGTTTCCTCATAGAGTCATAAAATGAGGATACGACTTCATGGTTCCTGCAGGATGGCAAGGACCCCGGTCCCACAGTGGGAGAATAGGGGTGGTGCTCTGTCCCACGTAGTCCTCAAAAGGGTGCACAGACCTGCTGTGGCAAGACTGTGTTCTGGTATCCCGGACTGCACCTTCCCAAGGATCTGGAGAAATGAAAAACTGAATTTGAAAAACCACCGGTTGATCGGGAAAAAACCCCTTCACTGCTGCTGCAGCTGGCAGCCCTGCAAAGCTTCCTCAGCGGGGCTTCACCTCTGCAGGAGTTAAACACCGATCCTGATCCGCGCTGAACACTGCATAATTATAGTGTGTGCATATATGTAAATTGGTGTATCTACGCGTATCAAAATCTAGTAACGACTGTAATTACACTGCGCGGGGACCCCAAAACCCACTCGTTCCTAGCGTGCTGGAAATGACCCCACCAAGCAGGCAGGCGAGGGGCAGGAGCGAGGGTGTGCAGCGAGGAAAGGGTGCGGGACGCGCACCCCACCTCCGGGACCCCTCCGCACGCCGCGGGCGAGCCCCCCCCCCCACCGCTCCGGGGATTCTCCGGCTTCCCGCGGCCCCGCACGCGCGTGGGGGCTCGCCCATGCGCTGACCCTCCCGGGGGCCGGGCCGGGCGGGGCCGCGGCTCCCATTGAGGCGGGTGGCGGGCCGGCCCCCGCCGCGGCGGGGCCAATGGGGACGGCGGCCGCGGTCGAGCCTCTCCCCGGCCTCCCCCGCCGCCGCCGGGCGCCCGTCATGTGAGGGGGATATAGTACTACGGGAGCGGGGCCGCGCTCCGCAGCCGCGCACCCGCCTCCCGGGGGAGCTGCGCCCGCCCTGCGCCGCTCCGCGCTCCGCGCTCGCCGCCGGGATCGCGCCGCTTAGCGTGGGGTCCGCTGCGGCTTGTTGTGGGGGTGGTTGGTTGGTTTTCTGTGTTTTTTTTTTTTTTTTTTTTTTTTAATTTTGCATTTTTCATTTTTATAATTATTTTTCCTCGTTATTCTTTTTTTTTTTTTTGTGTGTGTGTGTGTGTGTTTTTTTTGTTTGTTGTTTTGTTTTGGTTTTTTTTGTTTGTTTTTGTTTTGTGTTTTCTTTTTTTTTTTTTGTTTTTCTTTTATTGTTGTTTTTCCATTCTTCCAATCTTGGCATTTTCCGCCCCCCCCCCCCTCCGCGGCTTGCAAAGGAGTTCAGGTAAGGGTGTGCGAGGGGCGCGGAGGTTTGCGCGGGTGCGCGTCCCGCCAGCGGTTGCCCCTGCACCCCCTTGCCGCAGCACCAGTAGCCGGCGGGGGGGGGGGGGGGGGGGGGGAGTGGTGGTGCTTTGTGCCGCTGCTGCCCGGTCACTGGGAGGTGGGGGGGGTGCGGAAGGTTAAATCCCCCCCCTCCAGCGGAACGAGGGGAGCAGAGCGCGGCCGGGGGTGGGGGGGGCTGTTTGCAGGCTGGAGCGGTGTCGTGCCATGGCGTGACAGGCGGGGGGGTGGGGGTGTCGTGTTACTCTCGGTCTCGGTCATGGCGACAACGGGACCACGTCGGGGGGGGGGGGGGGGGGGGGCGGGCAGGAGGGGAAGCTCGGGCCCTGAAGCCTCCTGGAAAGGGATGGAAGAGCAGGAAAACAATCGAAATAAATCATATTTAAAAATCCCAAAGCAAAACAAAAACAACACAAACCTCCAAACAAACAGACGGATGCTTTGCAGCCGTGGAAACCTGGCTGTGCTTGGGCTGGGGTGGGAATTGTGTGTGTGCCCCCCCCGGCCGCTTTCCCTGCCCGGGTGGCGGATGCCCCGGGCGTTATTGCGGGGCCGCTGCCGCTGCCGGGCGGTCAGCGTGGGGGGGGCGCCCCGGGGGAAGATAATGTGCTTCCTCCTGTGGAAGCCCAAGCTTGAGGGTGGAGGGGGAATAGTTTCCAGAAAATAAGGCTTTGGGAACGTTTCTGCAGTTTCCTAGAGGGGGTAGGTTTGGAAAAAAAATAGGGAGACCCTAAACAACACTCCCCCCCCCTTCCCCCTGTGTCCGAGGAGCAGTGCAGCCACCTTGCAGAAGGGATAATAGGGATTTCCTCTTGCCTTCTTTTTTGTTTGTTGTTATATTTCTTTTTTAGTTTTGGTTGTTTTGTTTTTGTTTTGTTTTGTTTTTTTCTCCGTGCATTTCTATTTTAATGTCTTAGAAACGCTGGGCCTGGTTCACTGACTGGTTTATGACTCTGTCTGTGGAGCAGGAGTCAGCCTGAACAGAATTAAAATCTTCTGGGGACAAGAGAACCCAAAAGAGCTTAGTCCTAAACTAGAGAAAGCTGTAGCAGTATACATAGGAAATGACTGCCAAGGCATCTGAGCCCGTATACCACTGGGTGATCTGTTGTGCTGGGCTGACCATCCAAAAATGACAGACTGGGAAATACATCCCCGTGTTTCAGCAAGTTCCCAGGACTTAACATTTTAATCTTACTCTGAGTCAGAATGTGCTTTTTGTTTTGAATTTCTTTTTTTGAATTTGAATTTCTTTTTTCCTTTCCTTTTTTTTTTTTTTTTTTTTTTTTTTTTTTGGTGATTAGATGGACAGGTTTTAAACAGAACAACATGTTTCTGGCAGAAAGGACATCATAACAACCCAGGGAACTCTTAAAAGTTGGAGACCGTCGTGCTGCCTGTGTGTTGAACAGCTGCTGTATTTCAATCCAGAAGTGGCTGGTTTTCAGTGGCTCAGGCACTGAAGGTCCCTCTATAGGTGCTTACATCTCTAATGTGTTTTCAAGGCTCCTAGAGATGAAAGTGCTTTGTGTAAACAGCATCATTAGTTTTCATAGCTTGCGCAGCTCTGTCTTTTTTTTTTTTTCTTTTTTAATCTTCTGGTTTTGGCCGTGTCTTCAGGCAAAGTAGGGATGAAAGCCTTTTGGTTGCTAGTCTGGCCTTTAGGATAAAATATAGCCTGGGCCCAATCCTGCATTCCAGGCATTCTTGGCTGCTCTGCAAGTTTTGAGAGTGCACAGAAAGCAGATCTGGCCCGTAATGTGCCTGGATCTATTTGCCTCTGATAGTTCCCGCTCTTCTTAAAATGACTTTGGTTACACCAAGTGACATTGCTCCTTGTCAAAAGAGACGGGGAAATGAGTGTGCTGGTTGTTTACTGCTGAGGTACGTTGCTCATAGCAGTTGCTAGGGGTTTGTTGGTTCTGTTACACACCCCTGCCCCCCCACATCTGAGCCCCTATTCAAGGTAGGGTTTAGTTCTATTCCCAATGAAATATATGGATATTTTGATGTGTGGCTTTCTAGTTCTCTCAGGCTTTTAAAAGAAACTTGAACTTTCTTTTTTTTTTTTTTTTTTTCCCCTAAAAAAAAAAAGAACTTTACCAACCACTTTTGGTGCACACTCTTTTCTGCATGCAGAGCATGCCAGGTTTTCTTAGAAAAAAAACACACTGAAGTCCAGATTTCACTCACGGCACTATTCTTCAGAAATTTGGGGTGGAACAATGCAGACATAGGAGGGAGGATCAGAAGCCATCTGAGGGCAAGTCCTCCTTTCTGCCCCACATTTCACAAGGTAGTCACCAGTTTTTGGTGCAAAATAGAAGCAAGCTGCTTGGGTGAATTCTTACTGGAAGCCAGTGCAAATTTCTCAGAAGCAGATTCTGTTTTCTGTTTCAAAACTGGGAATAGCTCAGCTCTGGGACTTCTGGAGGAACTTTCCATCAACGCAGAGATTTAAAAAAAAAAAAAAAAGTCACGTGTGTTGGAAATAATAGTTCAGCTCTTCTGACTCTTCACTTTTACTATAAGAAATTATTATAGGCTAAGGTCGCAAAACAGAGCCACTAACCTCTGTTTGAACTTCCTCATGTTTGGCACATGTGGGTATTTCATTATCGGTTCAGAGGCATAGCTGACTGACAGGCCATGCATACCAGGAAAATGTGCAATCTTACTTTTAAGTTTGTCTTTCAACCTGCCCCTACTTCCTCCCTGTGCATATGAAGAAGGAAGCTGTATCTTTAAGAAATATGGTGTTCCCCCCGTTTCCTGTGAAATATTAATAGATGCTGCCAATGGGATGGAGCGCTTTTAGGGTGTTGTGTAAAACATCTCACTCTGTATTTGCTGGAGCACGGAGCACATAGATGCCTTCTGATTTTTCTCTGGAGCAGGCAAAGACAGGGAAAATTTTGGAGATCAGGTGGCAAGGATGCTCTGCAATAGCAGTAACAACCATTCCCTTCCCTGCACAAAACTGGGAGCTATTGACTATTCATGGCAAAGCGTCCAAAGCACAGCAGCGGAGCCTGTGGAAAATGACAGCGTGTAACAAGATTGACTGGCATTTCCTTCGCGCTGGATCACATGCCTCCCAATTCACACACACACAAAACCTCATAGGCTGATCAAATGACTTCTATCTCTGCAGTCCACATACCTTCCACAGAAAGAGTTGTTTTATTATGCACATATGCAGCTCTGTTTTCAATCAGTCACCTTGAGCAAATGACTGAGGGCCAGTGTTCACTCTGTCTGGAGGTCTCTGCGTTTGCTCTCTAAGAGACATAGTCTCTGTCCGTAAGCAATTTATTTTTTTCCCTCGGGGGGGGGGGGGGGAAGAAAACAAATACGCAGATGCCCCTCCTGCCTTCCCCTCCCCAGGAACCTTTCGAGGAATTTTGCTTGGCTTAACTGGGAAGTTGCAGGATGGTTGCTGCTGTCGGTGAGCGTTGCAGTGGGCTGCGCTAGGGAGGGCAGGTTGTGCCCTTGCGCCTCTGTGGGCTTGCAGCGGGATTATGGCTTGTGAATAGGGGCTTGCAGGATGCTGCCCGCTTGCCGCCTTGACATGGTGGGGGGTGAACTGGGACCGTGGCTGCCTGCTGTGGGTCATGGCAGGTTGAGATGCCGGAGGTCCGTATGAGCCCTCCCAGTTTAGCAACTGGCAAGAGGTTCAGATCACCTCGACCTCCGTACCCAGAGAGAGAGGAGTATGGAGTGATGAGGTGAAATCAGCCACCAGCTGGCCTGCCAGGACAGGGTAATTAGCTCAGTGCAGTGCCAGACTTATTAAGGGCAGTGCAGGTGATGATGACGTTGGCACACTGATTCATTACATCTGGAGGGGAAAATCCGCCTAGTAAATGCTGAAGCACAGTAAATATTTTTGGCTCCTGACAGATTGATGCTTGCATTATGCTGATTAGCCTATATTTGTGGAACTGAGGAAGTTAAAAATAAGGTTGGTGGAAAGCTACAAGATAAGGAAAGGATTTGCGTTTTATGGCCACCAGCAATAAACTTATTTTTTATTTGTTTTTTTGGGTGGTAAAAATTTCAACACTTTATTTTTTTTTCCCCATTTCCTTCTTTGGCTCTAGGTTTCACTGTTAGGTGAAAGCCCATAATTTATTTTCTCTTGCCAGTAATATTCTGGAAGAGAGCTGTAAATCTAGAGCACACACAGTTGGGAAATGATTTCTGAAAGAATTCTTTTGCAAATACGTGGTGCAATCCTGCAAAATGCTTCAGCCCTGACAGTCCTTAGGGGGTGGTACAGACATATCAAAGCGTGTAGCTACATGTGTACTCAGTGAGACTGGATGCTTTGGACTTTCCTGGGAGCTAGAGGGCTTTACGAGCTTTAGTTCATGGAGATAAATGATTAAACCAACCTCTGACTGTTGCTGTTTTGTTTTCCTACACTCAGGCTCTCACCTGAACTTTTGCCGCCTGGTATATGCTGTTGGGATATCCATAAGAGATCGCCCAGGAATGGTGGATCACTTGCTGCCTACTGATGAATCCTTTTCATCTACAAGATCTTCTTTTGGATACTTTGGGGACATGACAGCAGGGGTGAGGTCCTATCAAATGCTACCCTCTCCCCTGTCAGAAGATGACAGTGACTCGTCCAGTTTTTGTTCTTGTTCGAGCCCTGACTCCCAGGTTCTCAGCTCCAGCTATGGAAGCACGTCCAGTGCGGAAAGTCAGGACAGTATCTTAGACTACTTACTGTCGCAGGCATCTTTGGGGAACACTGCTGCATCATGGTGGGACAAAAGGAGACTTCAACCAATAGTGAAAGAGGAGTACTTTAGGTTGCCGGAATTTGCCGTGGATATGGAAGACTCAGGACCATTTCAGCCCACGCTTGAGGAAATTGAGGAGTTTCTGGAGGAGAACATGGAGTTGGAGCTCAAAGAAAGACCTAAAAGTGAGACCAAGGACTTAAGAGCTTGCAGCCAAGTTTCTGTTGCTTCGCTACAGCAAAAAGACCATATGTTACCCAGTGCTAGTTTAAAAGAGAGTAAAAATGAACAGTTGAGCAGCCCAACGGAAGGTGGCCAAGCTTCAAATGGAGGAATGTCCCTGGAGAATGGGATACCGGTTATGCTCCAAATTCAACCTGTACAGATCAAACAGGAGTCCAACACGAGCCCCAGTTCCCAAGGACCAGCACAAGAGAACATTAAAATTGCACAGCTCCTAGTCAACATTCAAGGACAGACATTTGCCCTTGTGCCTCAGATAGTTCAGTCGTCCAATTTGAACTTGTCCTCTAAATTTGTCCGCATTGCTCCCGTCCCCATCGCTGCCAAGCCAATTGGGCCAGGAGGCATGATCCAGGGTCAGACGGGAATCATCATGGGTCAGAAATTTCAAAAGAACCCTGCAGCAGAACTCATTAAAATGCACAAATGTTCTTTTCCTGGTTGTACCAAGATGTACACGAAAAGCAGCCATTTGAAAGCCCACCTGAGGAGGCATACAGGAGAAAAGCCTTTTGCATGCACGTGGCCGGGTTGTGGATGGAGGTTAGTATTGGGGTGCAGCACTGTCCAATCCCCCTTCCCCTTTTTGCTCACTTGACCTAACTTGCAGAGCAAGTAGGTTTGCGCTCTGATTTATAAACTGTTTCTGTTCCCAAAACTTGTCCGGTTGGTTTGAGAACTAAGACCTTTTTCTTCCTGTTAGGTAATCCAGGGGCTTTGATAAATTAAATAGCAGAGCATCACTTGCTGGCACCAGCTGTTAGAAAAATAAAAGTAGTGCATTGTAATTTGTATTTCATTCCAAGAGGGCCAGATTAAGCTTGTTACTGCAGGCAATACCTTGCGTTTGCACCAGTCTGGTTGCAACACACCAGCTGCAGCAGATGCGTGGCTGGTACCAGCTGAGGGCTGGAAGGGAACTGGATGGTTTAAGGCAGAAACTCTGTGTGTGGCTCCAACTGCACGGGGTTAAACGTGATCACTGTAGGGCTGCGATAAGCGAGCGTGGTTAAGAGCAGCAGTATTTTGCACAGTTTCATAGAAAATGCATTCCATCCCACTCCTTCTGAAAATGTTGGCAGTGATGCTCTGGCATGCTCTGGGTTTTATTCTCTGCCTTGATTCAGAAAAATGTGTGGGTGCCACTCAGTTGCAAAAACCTGTCAGATGTAACAACATAACCAGAAGGCTGAGGTGGAGTTAAGCACTGCTTGAATGAAAGATTGCAGGTTTGATTGAGCAAAATGTTGCACAGAGGCTATCTCTTGATTTTATTTTTTATTTATTTTAAATTTCTAATACTAGTTGAAAAATTAAAACTTTGTTTAAAAGAATCAACTTTTTATCTTAAGCAAAATTGTATGGGAGCTTTCCTCCTTCTTCCCAATTAGCTTTATTACTAGCTTGCCTGCTGGCAAGTGTTAATACACAGCACCACAAATTATGATGGGAGAAAACAAAATGTTAACTCCCTTGTATGAAATTAAACGGAATTTCTTTCAAAGAATATCCTGCAGAGCTTCAGCGAACAATGTCTAATGAGGAAATGGGTTGTGATCATGGGAACAGACAAGGTAAAAAGTAACAGGAGAGGGTTGTATAAAAATGCAAGTATGTGAGACATGCAGCAGTTAGAGATGGCTGGATTGGTTTGAGGGAAAAGGTCAGAACAGGGCTGAGTCCTCTGCTCCCCAGCTGGACCAGTTTGAATTTTGCCCCTTGGAAGGACTGAGGAGATCAATGCAATTCATTTCTATGGTGATTTTTCTCTCCCGTTTCAGTTTACGGTGGTTCTACAAACTGGTTGTAATTTTCTTTCCTTTTGTACTGGTGGCACTTCTCATGAGCTGGGCTCAGTGGCGCTGCTCGGGATGCACTGAAATTAAAGCCATGTTATTTAGCTGATTGGTCCCACAAGCCGCAGGCTGGTTTGCTCCTGACCTTCACTAGAGGCACTCGTTCTTTTTTATTTGGCTGCCAGAGCTCACGTGCCTGGGCAGCAGATGTGCCTCCTGCCTGCAAACGTGCCGTGGGTGTCATGTTGGCTTTCCTTGCGCTGGGATGTGAGAAAAACTCTCATTTTTGTTGACAAATGCATGTGTCACGTGAGGGTTTGTCTGATCCATGCTGAGATTTATACCAATACTCCCAGTGACTTTTGTGGCTCAAGATCTGGATCCTGAAGTGTTGCCTGTGGGTGACCTTCTGCAGCTCTGTCTTATTACAGAGCTGGTGTTTCCTAGGCTGCAAAACCAAGGGGAACATTTGGGAAAATATTAAGTGGTAAAGGATGGAGACTGATTTTACACTGGGGTGCCTGCCTTCTCCCAGTGTTACAGGAATGGTGTGGATCAGAAGCAGGATGCAGGTGTAAGGTGGGCCAAGAGAAGTGCAGGTCCTGCAACTGGGAGCACCCTGAGCTTTCAGCCAGCCACAACTTTTTAAAGATGAGGAGCCCAACAGGGATGAGAAATTAATCAACTTAGCTACAAACTGTCCACAAACAGCTGCTGGAAGGGCTTTTCAGACTCTACAGCTGTTTGTCTTGTTGCATATCACAGCCTGGGCTGGTACCCCTAATCCCTAGCACCCTTGAGCTTTGGAAGGGCTTTGCTCTGAGGGGGCAGGTTTAGAGCCAGCAGGAGAGGCAGCACTTGGGGAGCTGCTTCCTGCACTCACAGCCATCCTGAGCACCAGCCTGGGATTCCTGCACATCCCCTACACACTGCTCCCACATCAAAGGCCGGACCCAATAGAGCACTGAATTACTCAGTTCCCTTTTGTCAATAAAGCATGTTTGCCTTTTCCAGAAGTTCAGCGAGAGCTGTGATCTCACATGACTGAAGTCAAATGCATCCTAACTCTGTTTGCTCTCAGTTTTGTATCATCTCAAATGAATTTAAGTACTAAAAAATTGCTCAGCTCTGCTTTCCCCCTCCTTTCCCTGCATTCCTGTGCTTGTGTATTTATTTTTTCACCAAAGACACTTAAGAACTGACCTCGCTGAAGATAGTAGTTTCAAAAACAAAACAATGTGTTGCCTAGCACAAAGTGGCTGAGCTGTAAGTGAGTTAAAGCTTCCCCACCTCTCTGGGCAGCCCTGCTATGGTGAAGTGGTGTGCTTTAAGTGTACCAAGGTAGGGGTGTGCGCACAGCAAACCCTTTTGCTAAGCCCCAGGACAGCTGGGGAGCCCCAAGCACCACCCGGGAGGAGGCTGAACCCTGCTTGCTTGTGCCCTTCCTTGGCCCAGGGCAAGAGCTGTTTCCAGCAGGCTGCAGAGGTGCTCATAAGCGGCCAGTGACCCATTGCGTTCGGTACCCCGCTGTATCGGTCAGGCGCGCTGATCCGTGTCAGGCCAGCTTATACCTTTGGCACATGGCAGCCTCTGGTTTGTGCTGCTCCTGAGACAGCCCCGACCGAAAAGCTGAGCTGCAGTGTGGGCTGGTTCCCAGCAGCCGTGTTATGGCATGGAGCAGGAGAAGTCTCGCATTCCCTCCGCTGGCGCAGTAGCATATAAAGCTGCAGTTGTTGTAAGGGCCGGGGGATTAGGCAATCGCATTTAAATGCCCTGCCACATTGCTGGGCTGGAGGCACTTCCCTGCAGCCGGCTCTGCGGGTGACAGCATGCAATACAAGCTCTGCCTGGTTTGGCAGGGAGGGCTTAAAGGCTTGTAACGTATGGGACCATGCATGGGACGGGTCAGGGCAGGCGTCTCGTAGTGGCCGTTTGTGCTGGTGCTGTGCAAAGGGGTTTGCGGGTGCGCAGGAGCAGCGCTGGTTTACCATAGCGGTGCTTAGGGGATGGACAGGATGAATCCCGAGGCTCCCCTCCACGGCGGAGGAGAGGTACAGCCTGGGCCATCTCAATGGCTGGTGGCCATGGTAGGGACCACGGAGTACTAGGCTGAAGCTGTTGATCTTGCCTTGTGAGCCACACAGTGATGTCCTTGTTTGGCCAGGAGACACAGGACATATCCTACACATTAAGGAACTCCAGGATTTGTCTCCAAGGGAGATGTAGTTACAGGTCCCTTGGTGTCCCACCAGATAGAAGGATGAAGGAGATTCTTCTGGTTGCTGTTGGATTGCCCAGATCCCTCCACTTTTCTTTTGAAGGAGGAATCCTTCTGGAAATAGCAGTGACTTCGGATAGTGATGTGTTATTTGGGGGGTACATTGTTTTTGTTTGAATTTGTCATTCCACTGGAGATTATTTGCAGTTTACTTGGGGTGATCTTAGTGCCAGAACGTGCTGCTAATGTCATTTCACTGCAGAGCCAGGCCACTAGATCCTCCTGTCTTCCTCGTCCTAACCTTTGCGTTGTTTTTTTGTAAACACACCGGCAGCTCAAGGTTTATTTCTGTGGGTTCTGTAAGTTGATCTTTCCGTGACTGCTGGGGAACAGTATTGCAACATTCCTGCCTCTTCAGCTAAGGACATAGTTATGAGGCAGAGTGTATTTTTATCGGATGAACTCATCTGAGCTCGCGGGGTATGAGCGGAGCTGCTCATTCCTGATATGCACCTCTTTCTTCCCCACCATCCATTCAATCACCGTTGAAATGCACTTGTGGAGCTCTTGTGTAGGATTAGCCATGTGCTACTGCACTTCTGTTGCAGATGATGACCTTAATGGCCAAGGACATGGGACAAGGCAACCCAATCACATCTGGTTTTACTCCTCCTCCAAGTGATAAGCCCGTATGTAAAATGAAAGCTCTTTGCAAAGGCACTTTTCCCCCTGTTCCCTCTTTTCCCTGGATGTGGTTGCACCACTGGCAACAGGTCCATTCCTTGTCCAGCGCTGAGTCCTGCTGAGGCAGTTTGCATAGGCAACACCCCGCCCTCTCCAGAAAGATGCTTAGTCCTGCTCATCTGTAGCTCTACAAGAGCATCCCTCCAGGGATGTGGCACTGGAACGATCTCACTCCTAAGGGCTTGGAAGAAATCCCTGGCTCTGCTGCTCCCAGGTCCAGACTGTAGTTTTGGGAAGCCATGGCTGGAAGGATCAGTGTTGCTGTGGAGAGCGAATGTGCAGGTACTAGGGGTGAAGAGAACGCACGTTGTAGCCTTTTTGAAGAAGACAAGTCCCAGGCAAGGAACAGGTTGATGGCTCCATTAGTACATCTGCAGATGGTTCCATTAGGGCATTGACTCTTTCACCAAAGCAAGGAAAAGTCAGAAAAGCAAGAGAATGGGTGAAGGAACCTCCCCTAGAAATGCCCCTGGGAGAGATGTGTCCATACTACATCTTACCCATGGTGAGTATCTGCATCTGCTTTGTGCTGGTTGCAGAACGCTGTCTGGGTAACATCACTGGACTGAAGAGCTGTGGGAAGTGAGGAAAACGTTCTCAGCTTTCCCAGAGCCTGCGCTCTGTTCCTCAGCTGGTGGGGGGAGTAAAACCTTTGTGTGTAAACTTATTTTTCTTGCATGAAGGGTGTATTTATTCATAGGAGCCCAGTGGTCCTGTTTTCCCCCTTTCATAAAAATAGTATATTCACTCTGTTGGTGATGTGATATTTTGTTCCAGAAGGGCACATTTTTCTACATGTTCTTTCCGCCGTTTATTCAGCTAGTGCTTATGACTTCATGTATTTGTTGTAAATAAACAGCTGATACCATTTCTTGCAAGCTCTCTTTCTGTGCCACTCTTTGTTACTGCTCTGGCAACAAAACACTTAATTGCCCTTTGTCAGGCAGCAAATTTTTTGTACCCATCTGGACAGGACTGTTCTAGTGTGACATTATTAATTAACCCTGTGGCTCCCAGTCAAGTCCAAGCTGGAAATAGAGCCAGCCCTGCTGTTAAGACCAAAGGATTAGCTGATTTGAGTTCAGTAAAGCCTGTGGGATTCATGATGGCTGTTTGGAGATTTTTCTGTGGAGATGGAAGGTGGGTAATATCTAAAATTGAAATTACTCTGGGAGACAATTTTGGTAAAGGCTTAATCTTGATTTCATTTTACCCATGAAGTAACTATGCTAATGGCTATTGGGGCCCACCTGGATTTTAGCTGTTATAATGCCGAGCATCTCTGGTACTGAGATGTTAATGACTTTATTTAGCCAGCCAAAAATATTGTAACAAAAAATTGTACACAAGCCAATTTTTCAGCTGGATCTGCTAAGCCATGTTGCTTCTGGATAGCTATATCTGGCTGTTATCTGGGGTCCATCTCAAGGTAGTGCAATTACTGGATGTCCATTGTGCTCATGTCAGTGGGAGCTTGGAGCAGACCTCACCTGCAGGATGTTGGTGGTTATTTCTGCCTGAGAATGGTCCATGCTTGGATTTGCAGGGGAGAGGTTGCAGGGCTGGCTTTGAAGGGGACTGGCAGATGAATCAAGAGCAGTACCCATGTTATTGGGTAGTTCAGCTGTACCCATGTTATTGGGTTTAGGGCAACATTTGTACAAACGTTGCCTCCGTTCATTATGTGTTTCCATCACTGCTGCTGGCTGCTGGTTGGGACCAGCCCAGCCCTTCTGTGTGTCCCTTTCAGTTTGTACCTTGGGGCTTTTCCACAAGCAGAGTCTCTCAGTGGCCTGAGGGGACTATTTTTTTTTTTTTCCACTGTGAGAGACTTAGCAATGTAAAAATGCATTTATCTGAAAAGGCTTCTCTTCTCTTGCAGGTTCTCCAGGTCAGATGAGCTGTCCCGGCACAGGCGTTCCCACTCAGGGGTGAAACCCTATCAGTGTCCTGTCTGTGAGAAGAAGTTTGCTCGAAGTGACCACTTGTCCAAACATGTCAAGGTGCATCGGTTTCCACGAAGCAACCGCTCCGTCCGCTCCGTGAACTGATGGGTCCTGCTTTCCCCTTCCCGCCCAGCCGTCCTACAAGAGCTGACGACAGCACTTTGCTCACTACATTTCTAGTGATAATTTATTTGTCTTCACAGAACAGTCAATGCTGTTACTTGATACCACCATGTCTGTGTGTCCCATGTCCTTTAAAGATGATTTGAGAATGAAGTTCTTTTGGGGTCAAGGGAGGGGGGATGCTTCTTCCTTTTTGTTGCTTTTTTTTTTTAAAGAATGTTATTTTCCTTTCCTTCTATCTTTCCCTCATTTGCTGCTGCTTCTTTTGGAAATTACAGTGTTTTATTTTTAGCTGTTTTCTGCTGCACAGGAAAATGTAAGAGTTGCTTGCTGCTAGTTAATTATAGCCCTGGCATTCCTAAGGGCTTTGCTCATGTACAGGCCATTCATTGTGAGTTTTTATTAAGCTGCTCTATTTGTCCAGTTTGGAAACAGCAAATTCCTTTTGAAATGAAAACAACTCCTTTGTTTTTGGGTTGCCTGAGCCAAGGATTTGTAGGGGCTGGCCATAGGAGGAGGAACAGTGGGAGTCTGGGACTGGGGAAGGCAAGGCATGGAGAGCACTGGAATGCGCATCTGTGCCTCTCTGACTTCTCCGGCTTGCATTTACCTTTTCCTTGGCTAGGGCTATATATAAATATTTATGTATATATATTCATACATACATATATATATTTAAGCAAAGGCATATCCCAAGCAAACCCAAAAGCTCAGGCTGGATGGAATGGCTTGGAGTGAAGCCTTTTGGTGTGGCTGAGTGCATACCGTGTGCATGCTTCCGTCCTGTGCTGCCGTGGGGGTGAGAGCATCCCCACACGTCAAAGGAAACGCTGCTTTCCTTTGGCTCTGGTTCGCAGCATCCACTGTCTTTCGCAGAAGAGCTGTTGTCTAGTGTGTAAAGCAGCAGGAAACCATCCGGGAGAATGGCTGAGCTCTGTTCCTGTACTTGCTCCTGTCCTCTTCTGTGATCTTGGGGGAGAAACCAGAGTGGCAGTCCCGGATGTGCAGTGTGGTCCCGGTGAGCGCTGGGCATCCCGAACATCCCCTGCGAGCCTGTGCCTCTCTGGTTGGAGCTCAGTCTCTGCTCATCTGCTGGCCGGCAGGTCATGTAGGATGTACCTGTACCGAGGGGAGGGTGGGAGGCCTCGTGGTCTGGTAGGACAGCACCATGAGATCTTCTGTCCAAGGGTGATCAGTGCTCATCCTCTCCTTACCGACAGCCATGTCAGAGCTCCATGCAGCTGGGGTGGGTGAATGGGTGAGAACAGTAGCCAAAAGAAACAAATTTGTGTGGTAGCTGGCTAAGAAGGGAATTTAAACAAATAATCAGATGGTAGCAGGCAAGTGATTTTTGTTTGTCTTTCTTCTTGTTTTGTTGTTCCATTTGAACTCTGGTGATTGTAAGAAGTTTTAGAAGAAAATAGAATTCAGTAATTAGGAACAATTTTATAATGGATGTTGCATTTCCTTTCCATTCGCAAGGCGGCATCTGTTTGTCTTTTTGTTGGCAAAATGAGAAATGGGAAACTGCGATTCTAGCACTAGGCAGAGCAGGAGCCCACAATGTGCAAGAACAGCAGGTCTAGCTAAAGCGAATGCATTCCTTTTGTCCTCTAGAAATTAATATAAATGAACTATCATCTATTGACTGGTTTATGTCACATCCTATGAATGTATGTAAATAAAACTGTACATAGATGCATATCTATATAAAATATCTTTTAATAACATATCAAGATTTGTGTAAATTGGAAACAAAAATACCTATAAAGCCAGTGTACATAAGTTACAATTCTGTATATTTTCTTTTGTTCTTCATAAAAATATATTTACTTTGACAATAAAATGAAAATGGAAATTTTAAATCCCTTCTTGAAATTATTATTAATTAATTTCCTTTGTAGCCAGCTCTGTAATCAGGACAATAGTGCTTGAAATTTTGATTCACCTGGCTGTAACTTTTCAGGTGCTGGGTAACAGGGAGATGATGGGACAGATCTGAAGTTGTCTTCAGAAGTTTTTCTCATCTCAGAAGGTTCTTGGGAGGCACGAGATGTTTCAGCTCTCCCTTCACCAGAGCCCTCACGCCTCACCTGGCAGCCCCGCTGGGAGCCGAATGCCTTCTGTGGTTTCTGACCACCGTGGAACAGGTCTGCAGCTGTAGTAATACTGTGGTTAATAAATTAGAGCAAGCAGATTTTGAGGAAATTCAAGCTCTAGTGGTTAGTGTGAAGGAGGAAGGCTTCAGAGTCTGCTTGAGACTGTGACAGTGACTCACTGTGTGACCCGGGACAAAGGACTCAATTGCCATGTACTGCAGTTCACTTTCTTGTAAAATGGGGATAATAATGCATCACAGTGATACTGTGGGACTTAATTTACATTTGTGTGATCCTTGGATGGAAGGAGCAAGCAATAAGATCAGTAGTCACAGGATTAGATTGTGAAAGAAAGGCTCAGCACGGCAGAGTCTTGGGGCCAAGGTGCTTCAATTGCCTCTTCTGTAAATCCCACGTCCGAAAGAGTGATGTGAAGGATCTGTGGTACAAAGCATGCCTCAGGCCTGAGGAGAAGATGTCCTGTTCTGCAACAACCATTGCTTCCCATTTGTAACAACAGGGACACGAACAATGATGCTCTTGTGATCTGCAATCTGGGATATCTCTTGCCCTGTGCTTTTGGTTGCTTGACCCCCACTGGAAGAAGAAACTAGCAACGTTACTGGTGTTAAAATCACTTCTGAGTCTCCATGGGAGCAATGGTGCAGTATGTCCAGATCTTCTCCCAGCAAGAATCACTGAGACTAATGGGCACGTAGGGATTGAAGTCTCTCTGAAGAACAGCCACCAAAAACACCAGCTGATGAGCCAGGGCTCTCCAGACCCCTGATTATTTTTCCCAGAGAACCCCTATGAGTCTGGCAAGAGGATCGAGGGATGAAGCAGACTAAGTTCTGTTCACTCCAGGTTGTTGTTACCTCCTGAGATGTAACCTGAAGACCAGAGTCCTAAGGACAGCTGTTTTAAGAGTGCTAGTCATGTACATGCTTTAATTAGCAAGCCTGCACCAAGAGGATCTCCGATTCCCTTCTGTTCTCACCCTATTGACATCATGCATTAAACCAGCTGCTTTATTTTACCCAGCATCTCAGTCTCCTCCCCATCTCATCTGGAGTTCTGATATTGCTGTAACATTGGGCAATTCACACTTGCAAGACACTTGGGGCAGAAGTTGTTATTTTTCTGCAAGAGGTAATACTTAAAACTGAAGTGGAGTAATGCAAAATACTTGCTGTTGGAGCACAGCAGTGCAGAAATCTAAGATCTAAACTATGTTTTAACCTGGAATATTTTCCATGAAACACTTATTATATCTTTTTTTTTTTTTTTTTTTTCTTTTTCTGTTTTAAGTACAGTTTCTGAGTGTGAATTGTGTGCATTTTTCTGGCTAATAAGTGTAAGGAAATTTAAGTTTATGTAGAAGTTGTAACTTTTTGCTCAGCAGAGTAGGGCCAAGTTTGCTGTGAAGGGAGAGTTATTTCTGCATGAAAATTAATGACATTTTCAGAAGTTTGTCACAAAAAATTAGAAATTTCCAAAAGAGATTTTGATGTTTGTTTTATGTGAAATTACTGTCCTGCCCGGGCCTTGCTGATTCATGAAGAAAATGCGGCCTTGCCTTAAGCCTGATTACTCTTTACCTACCTGAAGATAAATATATATTTAAGTGCTTTGATGCCACAACTGTAGATAAGTTTATTATGTCCCTGCTTCAGCAACTCTGCATGGCAAAGCACAGCATGGCATTGTTATACATATGCCTAAGTTTCATTGACTTAAAACATCTGTAATTGGGTTTCTGAGGTGTGAGTGGACACAGTGCAGCGTTAAAGGCTTCACATAACGAACATGGTCTGGTTCGTAACACTTTGTGAGATCTTTGCATTCTAAAACCTTCTAAGATGTTTTACTGGCAATTTCTGGCTGTTTATAGTCTCTTCATCAGAGCTAGTGGTAAAGGAATAGTGTTATGAGAGGCAAGAAGCCATCAGCTGGGAAGGTTGTTCTTAAGGTAAGGACTAAGCATAAGGAATAAGAGTGAAGTGGTATTTCTGTAAGGTGACCTGACTTCTGTGGCCCATGGCTAAACACAGCAGCGGAGTGATGTGTCTGAGACCACAGGGGAAATGGGAACAGAACCAAGGAGTCCCAAATCTCCTTTGCCCCAGACAGTGGCGCAGACCACATGTCAATAACACACAGCGGGTTATGGAAGGCAAAGAGTAATAGGAGACATAAGTGAGACATCAGATAAGCAAAGGTAAAGACGGGGCACGAGATAAAGTCAGGCTGCATTGATAACGTCTGCTTTTGCAAAGGATGCCAAGGAGAGAGGAATGAGAGCTCGCTTGCTGGTGTGTTGCACTTGGGGGTCACCAAGGTCAAACTCCTTAAGAAGGGTCCTGCTCCCCTGATCTGTGTTATGTGGGGGCTTTTTCCCCTGCCAGTCCTGGGGGGAAGCCCAGGGAGCTGCACCCCTATGGAAAGCAAACCAGCCCATCGAGCAGGGTGGTGTGATGAAAAGTGGCAAGTATGGCTCCCTGAAGGAGTGCTTGTGTTTGGATCCTGCGATGTTTGCAAGAGTCCCCTGCTTCCCGCCCTCCCTGGGGGTTGTTTCCACTTAAATCCTTGTGTTGGGAGCCTTCTCCTTGTCTACTTGGACACTTACATTTAATCCAAACAACCAGGTGACTCCAGCACAAAGCCAGTGGCAATAAGTCAATGTTAATGATTACCCGAGCTCTTTGGGTTATGTAAGCCTGGATGTGCTGTACCACGGGCTCTAAGCTCAGACCTGCCCTCCCCATCTGGGAGAAATACCAAGGACCTGCCAACACACATAGAAAGCTGTTTGGAACCAGATGGGATTTTTCTTCTCCCCTTTTAACAGCACCTATGAAACCTGTTATTCACTCAGTTCAGTGATTGCCATGCTTTGCTTTCTTGGTATTTAGAGACATTGCTTTTAAAAAATGAGTTGTACTAAGCTCCCACTGACTTCAGCAAAAGCCAAGAATAGTGACCACCATTGATTATCCAGGGACAAAATTTCCCAGCTAAGGCAGGGACAGTAGATCCTGGTGGGTCTGTGGCTTCCCTTGCTCATTTCTTCTGGGATATCTGTGGTTTTGTGGCTTTTACTCCCTTTTCCCATAGGTTTTAGTTTTGTTCTTGTTTTTTCTTTGGGGGTGGGGTGTGGGGTGGTGTATTTGAAGGTGTGTGGTGTGTGAAAAACAGATATTGTAAAGAATCTTCTAGACTTAACATCTAGTGTGTGTTTGCATACAGCTAGAGAAATGGAATTTTATGACTCTTCTGGTCAAATTATCCTATAATGTGATGTCTGTAGATCCTCAATGCTCAGCTTTTACAGGTCTGAGCTACAATCTGCTCTGACAGCTCAGTGCAGGTCTTCCTCCAGCTGGAGCTGGAGCACATCCTTCACCTCTTGCTGTGTTCCCTACCCAAGTATCACTTCTCTAATGGTTTTGTGGTTAGGCTGACTCAAAGCCCGTATAAGCACTTGATCTCCTAAAGAGCTAGGGCTGGATGATCCTCCCAGTGCTTGGAGAAGTCTGCCGCAGAGAGCTTTCATCAGCTCACCCATCCTGCTCTACAGAGCATGTATGCCTTGGCCAGCATCCCGCTGAGCCCAGCTCGCTATTCAAGCATCCTACAGTTTAGAGCAACAACTGACAAGTCTCTGGCCATCATGAGCAGAGGGCAGTGTTTGCATCTCTGCCGAGCGCAGCAAGCTGAGGCGTTAAGTAAAATAGGACTGAAATACATGAATGACAAGTAACTGTTGGGAAAGCCAGCTCTCCTTTTTCTTGCACTGGTGCATGTCTGCTAACTCTTCCCCTGCTCATGATTGATTCATAACCATCCTGAAAGGGAGAGAAAATTGAAGTGAATGTGGCCTATAGTTTTTTGGAAGGGAGCAGAGGAAGTAAAACAGAAACTGAAGTAAGTTATGGTGTAACAGGCACTGTTCTGTCCTTTCCGCCACAGATAAGAGTGACAGGCTCTTTTTGCAGAAAGGGCTCTGCTTGTTGCGTAGGAGGAGGGTGGTCTGAGCTAGCCACCAGTGTCAGAGCAGATGGTGTACAGTGCTCTAGGGCAACAGCAGCGTTATGGCAGGGGGTTTAGTGAATGACAGACAGAGTTGCACCTTGGACAGTTGGCAGTCATAAAGAGAAGGGGCTGGGATTGCTCACTGTCGGTCCCTCAGGTCCCCCTCCTTGTATAATGATACCGCTTTTCTCCTCCTCACTCTGTAGCTGATTCTTGGAGTGGCCTGGAGCGAGTCTTAGCACTTCCCAAAGCAGAAATATTATTTACCCATATGACCCAGATACCGGGAACCTCAATAATTACAAGGCACTGAGATCTTTAGTGGAAGCATCTATCCAGGAATTGTTTTGCATGTGACTGAGGGTGGAGTCCAGCAACCCACAGAAAGAAGGGTACAAAGAATTACTGTTTTGTATCTAAAAAAGCCTCTGGCATCTGCTTCTCCTACTGAGTCCAGTGGGCACCAGCTTAAGCCCTGCTAGTTATTCCAACATTATGGTTGCAAATGCAGGGATTGGGCTATTGGGCTGAAAAGCATCCAGGCATTTAGTAAACTCGCCTTCCATAAGTGAAGGAGTGACGTGAACGTTCAAGTTTGGCTGTTGATTTCTGACTTTTTCTGAGAAGTCTATAAACGGCAGCCAGGTAGTCTCTCATTTTTTGTTTCCCTGGTGTGTGTTGTTTTTCCATGGACAACATGTCCTGGACCTTAGA